TTGTTCTTGCTGATAACTTGAGGTACAAGCAGGCAGGAAGGGGAAGTTTTGCATCTCAGAGAGGAAGAGGAGGACCTTGGGCAGGTGGAAGGGGAAGAGGAAGAGATCAGTACAATCCAAGCCAGAGTTGGCGTTTCAATGCACGTCCACAACAGAACCAAGCTACGGATGATCAATCAGGGGTAGCTACTGAGGATCCGTTAGCAGGGCAGCTGACCACCCACGGAGTGGTGAGTCCAGAAGCTAGGAACAATCAGATGTCGAACAAACGTACATCAGTGGATAACATACCGAGCTCATCCGGAACTGCAAACACTGAAGAAAATCAAGATAAAGCATTGGCTCTGGTGTCCAGAGAGCCCCCAGTCCCTCCCCTTCCGCCGGTGTATGTGTCACCAAGGAAGGATCGGAAGAGGCCAAAGAAGATAAACATGGGAGACATGCCAGAGATGGGCGAAGGGACAAGTGAGTTTGAGGAAGATATGGGAAGGATAACAACCAACAATGCAGCATCATCGGCGGGCTCCGGCGAGGAGCACCGCCGGGCGCAATGAGTGTTTTAAGCTGGAACTATCGTGGCGCGGGCAATGCTGCGACAGTTAGAGAGCTTCGCGAAATCACGAAGGAGTTTGCCCCTACCCTTTTTTGTATCGTTGAAACACAAATTGAAAGGACGAGGGTAGAAAGTCTAGCAGGAACCATCGGCTATGATCATGGCTATGCTGTAAGTAGTCAAGGTAGGAGCGGTGGTTTAGGAATATTCTAGAATAATCCAATAAAGATCGAAATTCTGGGTTACTCGGTGTACCATATTGATTGTTTGGTGGAAGAGCTAAACACTGATCCATGGAGACTGACGTTGTTTTTATGGTGAAGCACAAACACACCTAAGATGCCAAACTTGGGATGTTTTAAAAGGAATTGGGTCTTTGAGCGATCTCCCGTGGATTTGCATCGGGGATTTCAACGAGGTGTTACGTCCAGATGAACAAGAAGGTGTTGGAGAGAGGAGCAATGCACAGATTCAGGGTTTTAGGGATGCGGTGGATGTATGCATGTTGATGGATATTGGCTATCAAGGCCATTTTTGGACTTATGAAAAGAAGGTGGCCGGAGGGAGTTATACCCGGGTAAGGCTGGACAGGGCTATAGCGACTGCTGAATGGTGCGAGAGGTACCCGGACGCCCATCTTAGGCACCTGACGGCGGCAACTTCGGATCATTGTCCTATCTTGCTGAATTTCAATGGAACCCGTCCTCCGGATCAGAAGAAAAGTTTTAAATACGAAGTAATGTGGGAGACCCATGAAACATGGACAGAGACCATATCATCAAGTTGGGCTAGGGGAGGTCCGATAGAAAGCATGGATGAGCTGCGGACAAAATTGAAGCGAATATCGAATGAGCTCGGGGCGTGGAACAGGAATACTTTCGGCTCTGTGAGGAAAGAAATAAAGAGTCTGAAATATGAATTGGAGCGTTTGCGTAGTGACCCAGCCAGGACGGCACCATCCCATGTTGAGCTCAAAATCAATGAGAAACTCATTGAGCTTTACCATAGGGAAGAGTTGATGTGGAGGCAACGCTCAAGGCTGGAGTGGCTCTTGGCCGGAGATAAAAACACACGATTTTTCCATCTGCGAGCAAGCCAGAGAAGGAAGAGGAATATGATCAAGGCACTTGCTGATTCACTGGGAGTGACGATAGAGGAACCGGGCGCCTTAAGATCCCTTGTAACGGATTTTTACAGGAGTTTATATACGTCAGAAGGAGTCTCGGGGATGGAAGAAGTTTTGTCAAAGGTTCCAACTAAAGTAACAGAGGAGATGAATGCCATGTTACTTACACAGTACACAAAGGACGAGGTAAAAACTGCTCTCTTTCAGATGGTTCCAACAAAGGCACCGGGACCGGACGGCTTTCCGGCACACTTCTATCAGAGGCATTGGGACATTTGTGGGGACGAGGTGATGAATGCGGTGCTGAGAATTGTAAAAGGGGAGGAAGGAGCTGAATGTGTCAACGATACGGTTTTGGTACTCATCCCTAAGGTTTTGAACCCAACCCAACTCTCTCAATTTCGTCCGATTAGCTTATGTAATGTAATCTATAAAATTGCGTCCAAAGTGGTTGCCAACAGGCTCAAGAGAATCCTTCCTGACATCATATCTGAAGAACAGTCAGCGTTTGTTCCGGGAAGGTTAATCACGGATAATATTATTTGTGCTTATGAGTGTTTGCACTTCATGAAGAGAAGCAAAGCCAAATCAAATAGCTATTGCGCCCTAAAGCTTGACATGATGAAAGCTTATGACCGGTTGGAGTGGCCTTATCTCAAGGCTATGATGGAGAAGTTGGGTTTTGCACAAGCATGGATACAGGTAGTAATGAACATGGTGCAGTCAGTTAAGTTCTCTGTTCTATTCAATGGTGAGAAACTAGAACAATTCATACCCACTCGTGGTATCCGACAGGGAGATCCCATCTCTCCTTACCTTTTCTTGATTGCGGCAGAGGGCCTTTCGTGCCTACTAAAATCGAGTTCTGAGTCGACTAGTCTGGAAGGGATCAAGGTGGCACCAACAACTCCGGTTGTGAACCATCTCCTTTTCGCGGACGACAGCCTGCTGCTTTTTAAGTCAAGTGTTGAGGGAGCTGTGACGGTGTCAAACCTATTGGAGACTTATTGCAAAGCTTCGGGGCAACGGATAAATAATGAAAAATCTTCCATTTTTTTCAGCAAGGGTTGTCCTCAGGTGATGAGGGATAACATAAAACAAACTTTGAACGTGCACAGTGAGTCTTTGAGTGAGAAATACCTTGGGATGCCTACTGATGTGGGTCAATCAAAAATGGGCACGTTCAAATATTTGAGAGACAGAGTATGGGAGAAAGTCAGAGGGTGGATGGAGAAATTGTTGTCTGCAGCAGACAAGGAGGTACTTATCAAGTCAGTGGCCCAAGCTATCCCAGTTTACTCTATGGCTTGTTTCAGGTTACCTCGAGGTTTGTGTGAAAATATTACCTCAATAATTAGGCAATTTTGGTGGGGAAGTAAGCAAGGAAGGAGGAAGCCAGTGTGGGTAGCATGGGATGTGATGACTCAACCAAAAAACATGGGAGGTATGGGTTTCAGAGACATAGAAATTTTCAACCTTGCTTTGTTGGCCCGTCAAGCTTGGAGGATTCTGGATGATCCGAACTCTTTAAGTGCAAAAATATTAAAAGCTGCATACTTCCCAACTTGCGGTTTCTTGGAAGCAGAGTTGGGGAACCACCCCTCGCAAATTTGGCGAGCTGTGATTGATGGAAGAGATGTATTAAGGCAAGGACTTATTCGGCGAGTCGGAGATGGAAGTACTATAAATATTTGGGAGACAAACTAGATACCTAGGGCTGGTCCGTTGCGCCCCATAATATCTAGATCAGATAATCCTCCGGTGTTTGTCTCTGAACTGATTGATGCAACGACAGCAACATGGAGAGAAGATCTGATAAGAGCAAATTTTATACCTTTTGATGCTGACGCCATTATGTCCATCCCGTTGTGCACCAGGGTAATTGATGATTTTTGGGCCTGGGAGGCCGAGAGGAGCGGGAGATTCACAGTAAGATCATGCTACCGGATGGTCATGAACAAAAAATTCCATAGAGAGAACTGGATAGAGGAACATGCTGGAGCATCTGACTTTACTGCAAGAGGAAAAGCATGGAATGATCTATGGCACATTAAAGTCCCAGCGAAACTGAGGGTGTTCTTATGGAGACTTGCGCAACATTCCATGCCATCCATGGATGTATTGCATCATTGCAACATGGCGACCACACACCTTTGTGCGCTCTGTGGCTGTGCCGACTCATGGAGGCACGCTCTTTTTGATTGCACCATGTCACGATGTATTTGGTCTTTGTCAGAGGTTTCTTTGGTTGAAAGAGTTAGCATGAACACAGATACGAATGCTCAGAATTGGCTCTTTGCAATGCACGATCAACTACCACAAAGGGATTTTGTGCCTTTGGTTGTAACTCTCTGGTCGGTATGGAAGGCGAGACGTAAGGCAATATATGAAGGTATCTTTGAAAGTCCAGACTCCACACATCAGTTTATTAAAGCCTATCTAAGGGATCTTGACACACTTGAGGAGACAGGAAGCAAGCCTCCAGAACAGCGACAAAGCAGACCGAACCAATGGCTCAAACCTCCGGACGGAATGTTCAAGTTCAATGTCGACGCTGCTGTTCCCCAGAGCCGGAGTCGCGGCATAGCGGTAACGATATGTCGTGACCAAGATAGATGCTTTCAGGGAGCATCAGCATTAGTGGTGAAAGGAAGTTTTGATCCTCCGACTGTTGAGGCTCTGGCTATTCGGGAAGCATTGGCACTTGCTGCAGGTCTTAATATACAAAGTGTACATGTAGCTTCGGATTGCAGAACGGTGGTAGATGATATTAAGCAAAGGAACCCGGTAAGCTATGGGGCGATCTTACATGAAATAATAGATCAGAGCTCTTCTTTAAGTAGATGTAGCTTTGTGCATGAGTTTAGGAGCTCGAATTTCGAGACTCACAATCTAGCGAAGCATTGTTCAAAGTTAAGGGTGGGCTGCCATGTTTGGTTAGGGCACCCCGGTGATCTCTCTTTTGTACCCATGAATATCGTTTTGATCTAAATAAAGCTTCACGAGATTGTCTAAAAAAAACACCCGGCACGCGGCTTTGTCTCAAAAGAAAAAACACACCCGGCACGCGGCTACACGAACCGGAGACGTGTCTCGGTCCAACTACTACTATTTATTTACCAGAACGATTTAAGATTTTCTTTTTCTTTTCATCAACTCACAAATTAGACCGAAAGAAAAAACAAATTTCCGATCCAATCCGACCCACGACGCAATAACTCTAATCTCCGCCCCTCCTCCGCGATCCCCTTCTTCTTCCTCCTCCCCGTCTCCCCCCGCTCAGATCTCCGACCGCCGCCCCGCCCCACCCGCCCCGCCGAGATGTCGGGGCAGAGCCAGCGCCTGAACGTGGTGCCGACGGTGACGATGCTGGGGGTGGTGAAGGCGCGGCTGATCGGCGCGACGCGGGGCCACGCGCTGCTCAAGAAGAAGTCGGACGCGCTCACGGTGCAGTTCCGCGCCATCCTCAAGAAGATCGTGGCCACCAAGGAGTCCATGGGCGAGGCCATGCGAGCCTCCTCCTTCTCGCTCGCCGAGGCCAAGTACGTGGCCGGCGACGGCGTGCGCCACGTCGTGCTCCAGTCGGTCCGCTCCGCCTCGCTCCGCGTCCGCTCCCACCAGGAGAACGTCGCCGGGGTCAAGCTGCCCAAGTTCACCCACTTCGTCGACCCCGCCGGCGCCTCCTCCGGCGGGCCCTCCGGCGCCTCCCCCAGCCTCACCGGCCTCGCCCGCGGGGGGCAGCAGGTCTCCGCCTGCCGCGCCGCCCACGTCAAGGCCATCGAGGTGCTCGTCGAGCTCGCCTCGCTCCAGACCTCCTTCCTCACCCTCGACGAGGCCATCAAGACCACCAACCGCCGCGTCAACGCCCTCGAAAACGTCGTCAAGCCCAGGCTCGAGAACACCATCACCTACATCAAGGGCGAGCTCGACGAGCTCGAGCGCGAGGACTTCTTCCGGCTCAAGAAGATCCAGGGCTACAAGAGGAGGGAGGTCGAGCGCCAGATGGCCGCCGCCAAGCTCTTCGCCGAGGAGCAGCTCGCCGAGGATCTCGCCCTCAAGAGGGGAACCTCCATGGGGGCCACGACCAACATACTTGTTGGCGGCGGCGACAAGGACGAAGACATCATCTTCTGATCCCCACCCCTACTGTCCAATTGTTCAATCGGTGAGTAGCGTTGTTTGTTACCTACCTTGTGCACACGTTTTAGATCTAGGATTAGAAAGAAACCTTTTGGACATAGATAGATAGATGTGTTTGCTGTGATGCTTTATTTCACAGATGCTGCTGATTTAGTTCATTTGATTGTACAGTGTCTAACAAGGATTGTGGTTTGGGAACAATGTTTCTTAGGTGGATTGTTGTCTGTCAAACATAAACAACATATAAAGTCACAAGTGCATGCTTCATTTTATTATCCTCAACCTACAAATTGTTCACCTAGAAAGTTTGCTAGCCAAGCATTACAGTAGCTTATTCAAACAATTGTTAACTCAATAAGGTTATAAACTTAGCAATAAGATTCTGTGAGCTTATTAGCAATTGTGATGCTTTCTTTCACATATGCTGCTGATTTAGTTCATTTGATTGTAGTGTCGAACAAGGATTCCGGTTTTGGGAACAATGGTTCCTAGGTGGATGGTTGTCTGTCAAACATAAAACAGCATATAAAATCACAAGTGCATGATTCATTATATTATCCTCAATCTGCTCATTGTCACCTAGAAAGTTTGCTAGCCTTGCATCACGGTAGTTTATCAAACAATTGTTTACGCCATAAGATTCTAAACTTCTAGGGCCTCTTTGATTCATAGGATTTTGAAAACACAGGAATAGGAGAAGTGTAGGGTTGGAGTGGCATGCCCATTTGAATCCTATAGAATTAGCAATGATTGTTTGATGCCACGGGAAAAACAAAGGAATTGTGAAAAGAGGTTGGAGTGGATGTTAAATTTCCTATAAAGGGCCTCTTTGATTCATAGGATTGCAAAAGCACAGGAATAGGGAAAATGTAGGATCGGAATGGCATGTCCATTGGATCCCTATGGGATTTGTGTTTGTTTGATTGTGTCACGGGAAAAACAAAGGATTTCTTCCAAGAGGTTTGAGTGGATGTTAGAATTCCTGTGAAATGTAGTACAAATGAATCCTTAGGAAAAAATCCTATAGGATTCAATCCTACGAATCAAACGACGAACGTAGGAAAAATTCCCAAGGATTCTAATCCTTCAAAAATCCCATGAAAATCCTTTGAATCAAAGAGACCCTAAAATGTAGTACAAAAGATTCCATAGGAAAAACTCCCATGGAATCCAATCCTATGAATCAAAGGACCAACATAGGAAAAAATCCTAAGGATTTCAATCCTCCAGAAATCCTATAAAATTCCTTTGAATCAAAGAAGCCCTTAATGTTAAACCACTAGCCAATAAGATTTCATGAGCGTTATAAATTTGCTCGTCTTGTTTTCTGTTGAAGAATGTTATGCTTCTCACATAAATTAGCCTGGATACATATAGATTGAGGATAACTGCACCTGGAGCTAGGGGGAGGTTGGTCTTGTAGATACATATAGAGATTAGTCAAATAGGATTCACTGTTCAGAAGAAAAAAACAGATGTACCAAACATAAACAACAGGTGGAATCACAAGCCTGTGCTTCGTTATATTATCTTCAATCTTCGCATTATTCACCTAGAAATATTGCTAGCCTTGCATTGCGGTAGCTTGTTCAAACAATTTTTAAGTCAATACGGTTCTGAACTTATCTTAGTAATCACTAGCCAATAAGATTCCATGAGCGCTATACTTTGCTCTTGTCTTGTTTCTGTGCTCTAACTTCCAAGGAAAGCGGTCTTTAGATGATCGCATTAGGTTCGCTGGCAGATTAGTAACCTCCGATGCATTCCTCTGACCATCAGGATATGGCATGGTATCAAACCAATAAGTGGGTAGCACATCATAAATAAATTAACAAACCGCTAATCAGACAACAAACTTGTTCCATGTGCTCACCAAAACACGGTAGAAAATAGAAGACTGGCTACTCAAAAACCCGATGCTCCCAGCAACCAGTGTATCCATATCGGGTGCCATATCCCATATTGATTGGTTCCTGATATGTCCCCGATACCTCTCGGGCTCTAGCAGCGGCGGCAAGCTGGTGATGGGCTCTCCCCGGTGCTATGGTTCCCATATCTAGCGGCAGGCTACTGATTTCCTCCTCCTCCCTTTCTCTCTAACTGAACTTTTATGTTGATAACTTCCTGCTACCGTTTGGCTGTTGGTTCTTGGCTTTTGTTATCATCATGGATAAGAAGATAGAAGAGAATGGACTGCACTGACTAAATACATGCTAAATGGCTTGATGCTTAAGTAAAAGAGTATCCCTGTATTGGTGCTTTTATTTACGTATCCGTATCACCCTGATAGTGATGCATGTATCAGTGTGCAATTTAAACACACACAGACACAGACAAGCAAGCAAGTGATGTGCCAAAAACTCCACAGATATAGCACATGCAACTTTAGTTCTTACCGAAGGATGCTACACGTCTTAAAAATTAGCCTAGTCTGTTAGATGATTGCCCACTATTGCTTAGCTTCTAGATACATGTAGATTCAGGATAACCACTCCTGTAGTTTGGGGAACGCTAAATACATATAGATTAGTCAAATATATAGGATGTGTGCTCCTCATCAGAAAAAAAAAACAGATATGGCATGCCAACAAGTATGATAACACATTACAAACATATTAGCACATCACAAACATGGTAGAAAAGAGAAAACCCACAACTCTCTTATATATACACACATATTCATATTGGATAGACAAAATATTCGTAACCCTATACAGAAAGTCAGATGTTCGCAGGATGAGGAAGTCAAAGATCCTCAGCTGTATCTTCTTTATCCCTTTGTCAAGAACAAATGGTTTGAGAAGTTAATCAAATGATGTACTAATAATCCATAATATCATGTGTAATAATTTATTACGGAAGATGTTATGCTTCTCAGGAAAAATCGCTTAATCTATAGTACCCATGATTGCTCCAAGATACAATATAGCTTGATGGTAATCACATCTGGAGTTAGGGGGAGATTGGTATCTCAGAGGGCAGGGGAGGGCTGGGGAGGGAGGTAGCACTAGCATCAAGCCAATAATTTTTCTATGCAGTTTGCATCAATCCTGACTGATTGCGAGAAGTGGTAATTCAGTGTTGTACATGTGCATTTGGGCTACTCTGTAGCCTGATCCTTGAACTTGCAATGTGAGATATGTTTAGCTCTCAATGGTTAACTCCCTCTGTTAGTCTGCCTGAACTATAAGTTCTCTGGTTATAAGTAGCTGAGTTATATCTTTGGAAAGCAAATGCACGGCAGTCATACTCAAAAGTCTTATTTAACTGCCTGGATTTATTGAATGTGGCCCATTTTTCATAGCAACAGATAAAGTTGAAGCCAGACTACTATTTGCTGGAAATCTCTGTTTAGGCACAAGTGCAGCCTTCCGCTTGTCGGTAATGCCACAAAACTGTTGCTGAGATGTCTCCCAATCATGTGCGGGAGCAACTTAGAGCAAGTTTGGTTCCTTTAGCCTTATACGAGTACTTGCTTTAGACGGGAGGAGAGCCGCTGTCTGGGTCTCCCTCGAAAGAAAGGAATCCTCGCTTTACCTTTGCCGGAAAGCAAGGGAGGGCTAGATTAAATGGGCATTTTTGTTATGGGATTATTCTGCTTTGTTTGTGATTATTTAACATGCTTCTCCTTGCAGTGGTGCTCGATTCCGTCTCTCTTTCTCTAACGTTGTATTGTTTTTCCTCCTTGCAGCGGTGGAAACAATAAGTTCTGGTGCTGGAGCTCCAGGATTGAATCTGTTTATATAGAGTGGCGGAGGTTTTTGTTTCAGGCTGTGTGCAGCCTAAAATTATGGCCATCCAAGACCCAAAATAATCTCTCTCTGTACTTTGGGAACCAAACAATGATGGTGAAACTAGTGGCTATGTGCAGTAGTAAAAATTCTTTTGTACCGTATTTCGTTCCCCTGCACGCTCAGTTTTAGTTGCATATTTATTATCCAGACGTTGTGCACCTGTATTTTGGCACGCTTCGCTGTGAACCAGCTCTGTACCTTCCACTCTGGTCTGTATCTTTCTTTCTGGTTGTGTGTATCTCTTTGGCAGCTACTGTATTCCTTTCTCAGCTTTTCTTGGAGGAATTAGTTGTTGCGTTACGGCTTGGAACCAAATAAACACAAAATTCTGAATTTATGTGAAGTAAATTAAAAGATCGACATTAATTTTTTTGGGACCTGCTTTTGCCTATTTTATAGCGTTCGTTTGACTTGCTTTTTCTGAGACGATTTCTTGCCCTTGAGCTTCATGGAGCCCAAACTTTAATAAAACGAAAATGAGATTTTTTTTTAACTTGAAAAAAACATACACACACCTTAGATATGTATGCTCCCTCTGCTTCTTACACTTTGTAGAGTTTGACCTACATAGGAAAAAATATCAACTTTCGCAATATGAAATCAATATCATTAGATGCATTATGAAATTAATTTTCATCCTATATAACTTTACTATTGTAGATGTTGATATTCTTTTCATATACATATGATCAATTTTCGTGTAGTTTGACTTCAAACAAATCTTATATGCGGAGCAAAAATAAACAAACGAGAGGGGGTGCATTCTTGTAAAATTTCATTAAGAGATACGTTTTGGCGTGAGATGCACAAAAAAACAAAGAAATATGTAAATACAAAAACAAAGAAATATGTATTGTGTGTATACTTTTTTCAGATTTTTTTGAAACCTCAAAAATATCATTAGATGATCATTTTCAACAACGAATCATAGCACAGCTCAGCAACCGCATACAGATCAGAAGACTGTTGAAAGCACAGACTGCCAGAGTTGACTGTTTTCTCAAAGAGGAGCAGACAGATCACCGATTATCACGAAAACGCGGTGGGCATGAAGCCATGAACAGCTTGCACTATTATCAGTCAATCAATCAAAAGGATTTGCAAAATATCACTGATGTGAACCAGGGTTACAAAAAAATTATCATCTACTATGTGGGCAGACACTGAATGCGAGCACTGCATCCAGCAGTTGGCTTGCAGAAACAGCACATGTACCTGTCTCATTTTGTTTCTCAACAACTCCCCCACGAGGGAGAGATCTCCACCGACCACCCCCATTGCGCAGAACCGGTTTCCTCGGCATACAACAATGAAATATAGCTCAAAACTTCAGGAACGAATGAAAAGAGGGACCCTCTAAGACCCGTGCAGCCCTAGGAACCGCTTGAACGAGACAGGAGAAGGGCGCTAGTTATCTGCCACCAGTGGTGGGACAAAGCTGAGATCCTGCAGCGTTTGCTCGAAGATGTGGCCTACTTCCAGCAATTTCCCCTGTAAATTATGAAAACGTTGGTCATCAATTGAATCACTTGATTTAAGAAAATAGGTAGAAACAACTGAAAGGGGAACTACACTGGTCCTGGAATGATGATATGCCGTTCAGAGAGGCAATAGCAATATATTTTACCTCACTGAAGGGAGATCCAATCATCTGAAGTCCGACTGGGAGACCAGCAGATCCACCTTGGACGAATCCACAAGGCACAACCAATGCAGGAAGCCCAGCCATGTTAACATTCACCTGCATCAGCCATACCAGATTTGCACTGCGCTCTTTAAGATCTCATTACCATGGTAACTTTTAACACGCAAAATAACGGTGGAAAGAATTCAATTTCAGCTGGCAGTTTTACCAATATGTTAAACTATATTTGCAATAACTAAAAGGCGCACGATGCAGCAGGCAACGTTACTATTACTTTGGAGCAAACAGAGATAATTCTGCGGTTATATGTAAAAAAAAAGTGCATTCAAGAGTTTATTACCGTCATGATGTCTCCGGCGTACATAGCTAATGGATCATTTGTCTTTTCGCCTGCCAAAAGGGCTCACGTTTTCAATGTGAAAGGAAAGCAGGGAAGGGACCATACTTCTTTTAGGGAGGACAGGATTACAGGTGAGCAGATAATACCATACCTATCTTGTAGGCTGCTGATGGAGCAGCAGGTGAAATAAGAATATCATATTTTCCCAAAGCTTCTTCGAAGCTTTTCTTAACCAGCGTCCTCACCTACTACAGTGCAAATTTTGTCAGTTAAGAGGTAAAAATAATCAAAGTGCAAATTCGCACTGGGTGCTCCCTTCCTATGGTTACCTGTTGTGCTCGCTTGTAGTATGCATCATAGTATCCAGCAGATAATGCATAAGTTCCCATCAAAATTCTCATTTTGACCTGAAAAGAGCAATCAAAATTATACTTCATGTGATTTACCGCAAACCATTACTGTAGTCCACTTAAAACACAAAATATATAAGTAATACCCAACGTTGTATACAGAACTATTATCCTTTTTCCTTGCTTAGGGATTATAGATTCTGCTGGCGTGTTACACATAATATCAATACAATTAGCATTCCAACTAGCATGGTGCCACCTACAATGAGATTGACATGTGCAGAGTTGGTTGGGTTACAGAACAGAAGTTTATTTATGCATGTTAAATCAGCTTTCTAAACTCATACACAACAAACAGGTGTGATAGCTTTCTATGCTTCCATTTCTGTAGTACTAATGTTCATTTATTCACAATAAGGACAGATACTGAGAAGTGGGGAGGAGGATCTTGGTTAGGCCGGTGGAGGCACTGTACCTCATGACCGAGACCATTAGCCCGGGAATTTCCGTACAGCTCATTCAAGTCGTCAGCTGAAACCTGCTGCCCATACCTGAAAATGACTTTCCAAGAAGATAAATATTTATAGAATGGAAAAAATTATTGGAAAAGGAAAGGTTCAGGTACCACCTGATGCCATCATAGCGTGACAAATTAGATGAAGCTTCAGAAGAGGCCAGTATGTAATATGCTGGTAAGCCAAGAGAAAATGAAGGCATAGAAACCTGAAAAGTATTGAAAAGAATAGTTCGGTGATTATTATCTTTCAGAAATCCCTCATAGGACAACAAAAAATATCCATATTTATTTATTTTATTCTTTTTCCAGCAAAAGGGAAGCAACAAACCTCTTCCACTACTGATCCCAGCTGTTCCAGATGTGAAGCAGCAGCCCTGATTGATGATATGACTCCAGCATCCACACCCTCTCCAAGAGTTTCTTGGATAATCCCAATTCTCACACTATTTAATGGTTTTGATTCTAGTAAACTTAGAGATGCCAAGTCTGATCTATAGTCTGGAACATCCTGAGAAAGTGATACAAGAGATCAGATTGAGCAGTGATGAACCAAGCTTATTGCCGTCTTGCTTCGAGATCTACTAGCTCCAGATCCGCTTGCATAGATGTGGATCCAGCAAAAAATAAATGTTGAATTTTAACGCCTTGCAAAGAAACACCACGAGCGTGCATTGCACGTTTTCTTACACATAGTGAATTGCATTAGCATTTTATATGGTTGAGATGCGCAGCAGTATGTAGTCCTTCTGCCCTCACAAAGTAAATGGGCAATAGCATTTCACAGTGGTCGGCAACAGTTCAACACCATAAGTGCATCAAACAAGTGACACACAAAAATCATGATTCATGAGAAGGAAACGTACAACGAGAGAATCCTCCTCATTAAGAATGACAGTTGTCAACACAAGATAAGGTCGCTCAGGCAAGTTAATAGCCATATGACTTCCTTTCATGTTTCGTACTACATGCTTGCATGCTAAAAGGCTGTTTCTTAGTCATAGTTATTGAACTCGATGAACCTAAGGAAAGTATAAGCGATTGCCAGCTAAATCAGATGAAAACATATCTAGATTGAAACAAACAAAAAATGTAAGATGTACATTAAGGTTAAGTTTCAGTTTCCTTACATGAGAGCTACTGGTTGAATCCATTTTGTCATGGCCAGCAATGACGGACAATATGGTTGCAGTGTCAAAAACTGATGATCCAAAGCATCCCACAACATCCAGTGATGAAGCATAAGCCATGAGGCCGAAACGAGATACCCGGCCATAAGTTGGCTTTAACCCTACCACACCACAAAACGATGCCGGTTGCCTCACACTTCCACCTGTATCACTCCCTAAGGACACCACACACTGTCTAGCAGAAACCGCAGAAGCAGAACCACCTGAGGATCCGCCAGGCACGCGCGAATCATCCCAAGGGTTTGTTGTCACCTGCATACCATCAGTGTTATCCGTTAATTTTATGTCATCTGATAGGGCCGCATTATTATGCAACAGAGGAAACTCGAGGTTATGTTTAAGAAAGTCGGAAGCAGCAAGAAGTTCCATTCACATCAATAAACACTTGCAACATGTATTTGCTATTCAACAGATGAACTGAGTCGCCGAGTCCCAAGTTTGATTTGATTGACCTCAACGAACTAAACACTTGCAACATGTATTCGCAATTCAATATACAAACTAACCAAATTTGATTTTATCGACCTCTACGGACCAGCATAAATACGCATCTACTACCATTCTTAGCACTTTTTTCTGATGATGCAAACTTAAACGAACTTGGACAAAACAGTGTACAGGATCTGATCAGTGAGCCTCCGTACCTGAAACCCAGAGCCCTCGGTGGTGCTCCCCATGCCGAACTCGTCGAGGTTAGTCTTCCCCACCACAATGGCGCCCGCCTCGCGCAGCCGCCGCACGGCCGTGGCGTCGTACGCGGGCTGGAACCCGTCCAGTATCCGCGACCCGCCGGTGGATGGCATGCTGGCGGTGCAGATGTTGTCCTTGACGCCCACGAGCACCCCGGCGAGCGGCCCCACCGCATCCCGCCCGCCGGAGGAAATCCTCCGGTCGAGCTCCTCGGCCTCCCGCTCGGCGGCGGCGTCGGCCACGTGGATGAAGCTGCGCAGGCTCGGCTCGGTGCGGCGGAGGCGGGAGAGGTACTCGGAGGTGATGTCGGCGGCGGTCCTCTCGCCGGACAGGAGCGACTCGCGGATGGAGAGGATGGAGGAGGCGGGCTGGCCCGGGGCCAGGGTCTTGGCGGGGGCGGAGGAGAGGGAAGAGACCGCGGTGAAGCGGCGGCGGGGGATAGGGGATGTGCGGCGGTGGGAGAGGAGCATGCGGTGGGCCTGGAGAGGCGGCGGCATGGCGGCGGCCGGCGGGGAGGTTCTCCGGCGAACGCCGGTGCGGGTGGGGGTTTGGGGTTTGGATGCGTGGGAAGGGAAAGGGTGTGTGGATTTGGGGATTGGGTGGGAGGGGACTGATGGTCGGATGGAGGACACGTGGAGGGTCAACGATTCCTGGGCGTCCGATCAGTCAGCCCCACGAAGATTACCGGGGGGTCAGCAAAAGGGCTCACATGGTGTAAAATCTTCAGATTCGTCGAGACAAATACGTTGAGAAAAAGGATTTGGCTAAAATTTAAGAAAAAATTGGCTAAAATCAAACTAAACTAGTCTTGCATTTGTTCCCTCAAGAAAAATAGTCTTGCATTTGTTTAGGAAAAAGTTTTGGTTCAGCCGGCGGATAACTCTCACGCGTCGGCCGCCTCGTACATCGTTCAATCCGTGATGATCGTGTGGCATGGATAGCACATAGCGCTGTTTGGACCACATAGCATCACACATCACATCCTACAAACAGTTGGTGTGTTACGGGATCTGGACCTGAACCCCCTCAAGATCTGCAGCAAGACCTTTGTTGCGAAGAAATTCCGAAACAAGATCTCTGTTGCAGAAAATGAAAAAATATAGACAAGGGTGATCTTTAAAATTTCTGCAACAAGATATCCGTTGCGAAAAAATTCTTGCAATAAGATCTTTATTGCAAAAAAATACAGGGACATCGATGCTGCGAGCGGCATCATCTCCTTAATTTCACGGGCTCCGTTTCGAAAATAATTTTTGGAACATAAACTCTGTTACAAAAAAATTCAAGGACATGTCCCCTGTTGCAATCGATCTTTAAATTTTTTGCAACGGGGCCACTGTTGTAAAAACAAAAAACTACATGCTCGTGTCGTGAGATTTTTAAAATTCTGCAACAAGACCTTTGTTGCGAAAAAATTCCGAAGCAAGAGCTCTGTTGCAGAAAATTAAAAAGTACAAACAATGGTGGTCTCTAAAATTTTTGCAACAAGATCTTCGTTGTGAAAAAATTCTGCAATAAGATCTCTGTTGCAAAATAAAAATAAAAAAATACAGGCTCAGGTGATTGCAACAAGCAGATTGTTGCAAAGTATGGCTGCTTATTTTGATAGATCGGATGGTCATTAATGTGTCCATCCAATGGTTAGGGAGGCGGCGGATCTTTTTTAAATTTCTGCCGGCGGACGCGTAGGGTCGCCCGTTTGTTTAGGGGAAGAGAGTTAAACCGTTCCATTGCCTTTGTTTCCTCTCTCGCCAGGCGACTAGGGCAAAATCTTCCTATCCTTCATCTCCATCAGCAAGCCTGTATATTCGCATCCTATCTGCTTGTCGCTTCGCCGGTTGGTGGTGGGGGGAGAATCTCGGTGCCTCATCTTCGGCTAGTAGATAGTTTAGGGTTGTAGTCCTTGCAGGGGTGGCACTGAGACGAATGTCACCGTTTCTTCGAGTCAGTCTTCAAGTTTTCGATTCTCCTCAAGTTCATCCGTTGAGAGGATTAGGCAAGGATCCCTCATAGATTCATGTCATCTCCTTGAGACAGCGAAGTTAGGTTTTCTCATCGTACATATGTGACAGCGAGATTTATTTGGTTAGGCAGGGCACGATACTATTGCCACATTGGGTTGACATAGAAGTAAGAAACTTCATCTTTGAAATGCAAACTTTTTTCTCTCCATATTTAAATGATTTCAAAGAGCTACCATGACAACCAACACAAGATCTCACATATCGCTATAGAACCTCATAGCTCTTCTACCTCCATAATTCTCACCCAGCGTTGGTGTATAACTTTCTAGTTTGGATACAATATTCCCAAAAACGAGGACAACAATATTTTAGCTCATAGTAGCTTTTATTCTAGTCCGAATTAAGGCATTTTTACCGGATAGTTGACAATCTCATAGTAGCTTTTCTACCTCCACAACTCTCACCCCGCGTTGGTGTATAACCTTTCTAGTTTGAACGGTGTAATGCTCATTTATGGTTCTAGATTATTAAGAGTTTACTTCCCTGTACCGAGTAATTGAGAATCTCACAACTCTCCCACCTCCATGATGCCCCCCCCCAGTTGGTGTATAACCTTCTAGTGTGGATACAATATTTCCAAATAGGATGATATCAAACGGTACGACTCTCATTTGTGGTTCCAAATTAATACATTTATTTTCGTTTATGAAATAATTGTCTTCAAAGGGAGTCCAGCATCATGTACCGACTTCAATCAAGAAGCAATCAATATCCTTACATAGGCGTGCAACTCATATGTGGCATGCCATATACTACATTGACTATGCGGACCGACAAGTGAAGCTAGCCTTCTTAACCGATGCCCTCACTCTCTCTATGCTTGAAAACCGTGTTTGGCAATAAGGCGGATAAAGTTTGTGTGAAGTCAAATGGTTCAAAGTTTGACAAAATATCTACACTACTATATAGTGTATCGATTTTGAAAATTATTAATCCTAGGCTTGAGGCGTGATATCAGCCGTTGATTGATATTGATACCAATGGTCTAGACGGTTGTGATTCACATTTACAATGATTTAATTGCACCCAACTGCGTTTTATATTCTTATGAAACCAACATCGCATCAGTGTGATCAATCCACACAACAAGCTCCTGCGAATTTGTGCGGTGCAATTGAAATTCCAATTTGCGTGACGTACCGGAGTTCTAGTGTAAGAAAAGAATGTGAGGATAGAGTCTTTGCAAAGGGGAAAAAAACGGGAAAAAACACGACATGTCGAAGTTTGTACTGTAGTAGTGAAAGCGGTTTGGTGGTTCGCTGATGACCGACCGGTACTAGGAATCAACGGTCCATGTGGATGTGGTCTTGGCGAGCAAAAACAGGCCCTGTGGTTAACCGGCGACCAGCGATGCGACCGAGGGTGAGGGAGGGAGGCGTTAACGCTAGTACGCTACAGTTGCTGCTGGCCCGGCGCCAAAGGTGGTGCTGTACGCACGATCGCGACCGATGCGTCCGAAGCTGGGCAATGACATCCGCGACCGACCGCCACGTGGCGCCGCGCTGCACGGTACCACGGCGGAGTCCTTGGATACGACCACACGGTACTCTGACGCGCACGCGCCCAAAATGAGCGTACGCGCCGCATCGTGTCGACCGCAGACCGCTTTCCCTTTCCGCTGGATGGTATCCCCGACGATGTGGTAGGCCGGTTTCCGTCGAGAACTAGGGGAAAACGGCGT